TGTTCTTGCAATTTTGTTTTTGTTTATTATTTTTTGTTTATTACAAATTACAATTTAATCTATTAAATCTATTACAATTTAATAGTGGATCGAAATATCCAGGATTATGTTGACATTCTTACATAGCAACAAAAATACTAACAGTAATAAGTATATTAGTAGTAACAGTAGCATCAGTGGTTTTAGTTGTAGTAGTTTTGACATTTTGAGGTGAAATTAAAAATATATTTGCATCTCGGAAAACGTGATTTGTAAAAGATGGTCAGTTTCATTTTCTTGCATGTACACATGGTGGCACTGAAGACCACGGCATGTAGGCAGTAGCGTTCTTATGTGGTATAAGACTCCTCCCAATCACAAGGGTTTATGATTTTTTCCCCCTGTTCTTTGTTAGAGAGGGAAGCAGACCGTGAGAGAAGGAGAACATTAAGCCGACTGGAAACATGGTCAAGACTGGTTTTTGCTCCGTGTCTTTAAGCCTGTTGACATGTTTACACTGGATATGAATTTCTGCATGTTACGCTGGATCTAATCATGTATTTCTCAAGAGGAGCGAGCTCTTTATGGAATGGTGTTTCCGTCGTGCTGCTGCTGTGTTGCAGCTGGGAAGTTGCAACCGCACAACTCTCGTATTCCATCTCAGAGGAGGTAAACCCCGGAACGTCAGTGGGAAGTATTGCAAAAGATCTAAACATTAACGTCCAAGATCTAGAGCCTCGCATGTTCCAAATAGTCGATTCGGCAAAAAGGAAGTATTTCGACCTCGATTTGAAAACAGGGATTCTGTTTGTGAATAAAAGAATAGACCGAGAGGAGCTTTGTGCAAACTCCGCAAAGTGCACCGTGAGCATAGAAGCTGTGATAAGCAACCCAATGAAGCTCTATCGTATAGAGGTAGTAATAAAAGATATAAATGACAACATGCCTGTTTTTTCTGAGCATTTGCAGTTGATTGATGTTCCTGAAAACACCTTACCTGGAGTCAAATTTAGTCTAATAGAAGCGTCAGACTTAGATGTCGGAAAAAATAGCGTTAATACTTACAAACTAGGAAGTAATGATTATTTTACGTTAGAGATTCACAAAGGAGCAGACAGCGTGTCTGCTGAGCTGGTGCTGGATAAAACACTCGACCGAGAACGAGACTCTGTTATAAAACTCACTCTGACTGCCGTAGATGGAGGAAACCCACCAAAGTCGGGAACCTCGGAAATAGTCATCACAGTTTTAGATGCCAATGACAACCACCCTATTTTTAGTAAGTCTCTGTATAAGATTCAAATTCCAGAAAATGTATCCACAGGAACAACAGTCGCCAATCTAAACGCAACAGATGCAGACGAGGGTTTAAATAGTGAAATAGAGTACTCTTTGAGAAAGAAAGGACAGGATCGAGTTTTGGATTTATTCGAGATTGACCCTAAAACAGGTGCGCTTCTTGTGAAAGGTAATATCGACTATGAAGAAAACCCCGCCTTTGAGATTCATGCTCAGGCAAGTGACAAAGGTCAACCTCCAATGTCTGCTCACTGTAAAGTGCTGGTAGAAGTGGTGGACTTGAATGATAACGCCCCTGAGATCACCGTAACATCGCTGCAAAGCAAAGTGAAAGAGGACGCACAAGTAGGCACAGCTGTTGCTCTTGTTTCTGTGCTGGATAAAGACGACGGGGAAAACGGGAAAGTAAAAGCTCTTATTGTAAATAAAACCCCGTTTAAATTGGAAACGAATTACAAAAATTCTTACTCATTAGTAGTTAATGAACCATTAAATAGAGAGATTCATGCTGAATACAACATAACTATAGTCGCAAACGATGGAGGATCTCCATCTCTCTCCAGCACAAACACTGTTAATATTCAAGTATCTGATGTCAATGACAATCCACCACGATTTTCTGAACCACTAATAAATATTTTCGTGACAGAGAATAGCCCGGTGGGGACAGTTATCAAAAGTGTATCGGCAATTGATGCTGATATTGATAATAATGGTAAGGTGAGCTACTCTCTTTTACAAACTAGTACTGATCGGCTGAGTTCATCTAAACTTGTTAATATTAATTCAGAGACCGGAGATATAATCAGTCTGCAGTCTTTTAACTTTGAGGAGTTAAAAACGTTTCAGTTTAAAGTTCAGGCTACAGACTCTGGTGTTCCTCCGCTCAGCAGCAA